GCTGAAAGGGAGAAAAGGAGGAATAAGCGGAGAAGAAGGAGGAAGAAGAAACGTGAGACAACCTGTAGGGTAGGCGCTAAGGTGTTAATGAGGTCGTGTCGCTCCGAGTCGATTCAATTATGCGGCGGTGGCGACTAACGAGGCCCCGTTTACCCTTTCAGTCGTCTTTTAGCCTCTCGGCCTCTTAACCGGTCGATCTCCTACCTGCTGCTAGCGCTGCTACACCTACGGCTAGCCGCGCGTACCGTGCATCAGGATCTTTCATTAGATTCACTTGTCGTCCTCGAACCAGTCGGCGAAAAAGTTTCTCGTTTCGTTCGTCGAATCGACTCGCGTCCGAGCGAACTTCAACTTCACCTCGAGAGCACTGAGTTTGTCCTTCTTCGTTCGACACTGCGATCACTTGCATGGGCCCCATTATCGTTCGCTTTGATTTTTAACGGCGTTCTCTTCAATTTTCGCCATGGATGAGGTCGACACAGTTACCAGGATCTTCACGGAAGCGATCGAGGGCTCGAGAGTTCGAGCAAGACGGGAGAAATTTTCGACCCTCGAGGACCAGGAATGCGGTGTCGAGTGTCGATGATTTTATCGATCTTGTCACGTCGGATTAAGCTCGCGATGAGAAACCGTACGCCGATTTTAATAAGAGGGTCCCGGGAGACTCATTTCTTCCGCGATGTTTTATTAATAACAGGTAAACGACTTACCGTCGATGGAGAAGGGGAATTCCGAAGAGGCGAGGGTGCTCGCTGGTCCTGCCGCGTGCAGAAGGTACTCGGGCCCCAAACCACCCAGTCCTGTGAAAATCCGAGACGAGCGATTAGACATCGGGGAGAAAAGTAATTTCGTTCGCTATTTTTAAGTGGCAGATAATATTATCCCCTATCCTGGGTCTAACGAATTCAAAGACCTGGGTCCTCGAAGAGACTCCTCCGCCGGAAATGCGGGCTCTTTACAGCTTCCCTGCGTTTAACAACGGGGATGGTGCGCTGTGTCTCTTTCATTAGGTTCGTCGAGAGAAAAACCGAAGGGATATCGAAATGGTATTGAGTATATCTGAACGTCAGCTTGGAAAATTGAATAGAAAAATAAATAGAAAATAAATCAATTTTGTAATTTAAGAAATGAATCGAGCATTTTGAATATATTTAAATAAACTTTTACTTCCACTTCTGGACTCTAAATAGAACAAAATTATCCAGAAAGTTCGCAGATATCCATAATTTATTTACAGCACGAGTTCCTTTGACGAAATCAAAGTTTAACTGCGAAGCAGAATTTGATAATGAATTCCTGATATTTTTCAACAAATTTTTATTCCAGTCGTGGAACTACAACGTATACCAAATTTGTCAAATTTTCAAGCAGCAAGGGACAGCGATAATTTATCCAACTTTCACTGACTGTCCTTTCCCACCATTCAACGAGGCTACCTCGGCAATAAGAGTAATGTCCATTGTCGGCAGCCAGGATGTTGGACGGGGAATAAATTTCGAAGCCCCGGCGGGGACGTGATCGAAATTAGGCGACGTCCCCGGCCGCTATCGTTCTAATTATCTCGGAACAAGTACAAGCCAAGGTAATTACCGTGTAACGAGGCGTTGGGACTGTGCGTGGAGGCCTGGAGCTGGTGGTAAAGGTGGTCCATGTAGTTGAGCCGGTAGGCGGGATGCAGGGCCGTATGCTCCGAGAGGGGGTGACTTCTGCGGAGGAAATCACCGCCGGAAGTCCCGTCCCCCCCCCCCCCCCCCCCCCCCCCCCCCCCCCCCCCGCCACTCGCACCGCTGCTAGCTCCGCCACCACCCCCGGTGGCAGCACTGCCGATCGCCGTCGTGCTGCTGGACAATCTGCAAAAGAGTAAGCCTCCGTTTCATTTCCCTTTTTCGTTCAAAAAATCCCAGTATCAGATAATTAAGGGCAAATTAATCTTCGAGCTCGGAAGAATTATTTTTCCGTGGAAAATTGAAATTAGAATCGAGGTGATATCTCGTTTTGGAACCTCGAAAAGTGACTGTAGTGAATACTCTGAGAAAAATAATTTAATTTACCCTAAGATCGCTGTGTTTTATTCTCGAGTTGATTCTGGCTCCACTTGGATCCACGAAGCGTGCTTTATTATTCGACACGATACAAGATGGCTGAATTTTAAGCATTAACACTAGAACTACCAATCCAGTCAAAATAATTGGTCCCAAAATTTTCCTTTTTGCAATCATCGAACACGTACACTTACTTTAAGAATAAAATTGGTATCAACTCATATTAACACTAGGTTTACGGACGCTATCTGTATATCTATTTCTAAGGACACCTGTCAAATTGACAGGTAAAGGAAACCACGTGCCTTTTCTTTTTTAACGATTAGTTTAATTTAAAAACAATTATATATTATATTAACAGTCTTAATATAAGTTAACTAAATCTATCATCGTATAATTGGAGCAACCCTTCCGTCAAATTGACAGGTTCCGTAAATCTAGCGTTAAGAAAGAACTGTAATCAATATATTCACTCATAGTCATCGCACCGCTGAAATTACTATAATCTGTGCACGTTATAGTTAGTATGCACGTTCTAGTGTTAATAAATAATTTATGGATAATATAGTGACAATTTTTAATCGGATTATTATTGTAACGTATTATATTATTGCAATGTTATATTATTGTAATATTGTATAATAAATTACGATATTCAGACTTGAGTGTGAACGAACACTCAAGAATGAAGATGGAATCTCAATTTTTCTAAAGAGGCACTGATACGGACACCTATACGTATCTCGTCTTAAACCGTGAATATACCGGGTGTCCTATTTAAACTATCCTAGTCGAGCATCTTCGAGGCTATTGACAATTCTACAAACTCTTTTGGACAAAGATTGAATGATTTTTAAGTGAATACAGAGACGACATACGAAAGCCAACTTCATCTTTAAAATCTTAACATAAAGTACAATCACGTAATGTACAACGATGATGTACAACGTATCCCGTGTGATTTTGTTAATTAGTCTACGCGTGTCTCGAAACGAAGAGTAGACTAATAAAGAAGAAGACTGAGAATTACTAGTTTACAATAGTCCCAACAAGCAAGTGACTGCGATCCAACTGAATCTCTTTTTACCCGCGTCCATTTCTTTCACCGGCTCGACTCGTTGGGCCAACCATAAAATATTAGGCTATTATCGCGGGGAAAGGAAACGGTAGATCCTAATTCCCCTTAAGTATCCTTGCAAAGAACTGCAAACTCGCTTCGACCACCCTTAAACGCGCAAAATCGGCGCGTCTGTCATCTCGGCGAGTGCTTAAAGCCGCAAAGAAGCTGCCTCGAAACACAGGCGCGATTCAGCCGGCAGATTAATCATCCCGAAAGGACAATGCAAAGAGAGAAGCGGTCGTTTAACGAATGAAATTACGACACGCTCGAAGCCGCGACAAATGGCGCGTGTCTCTTCGTCAAACATTCTATTTTTGCCGACGTCGACGCTAAAGGAGAACAGGTGTCTTCTAGCAAGGCCGGGCTTGTTCCCCGGCGTGTTCCCGAAAGCCACGCGAATTTTTCCCTTTGCCCGGTTTGCCTCCCGGACAAAGGTGCGTCGCCAGAACCCGGCAATAAGAACACGCCGCTTATGAATCCGAGAATCGCGAGCAGAGGGCGCCACCGTTTCGGCCCTGGACCCCGGCATCGTTCGTCACGCACGGAATATCGGCAAACGACGCGTGTCTCGTGTCATCGGGCCTGTTTACTCGCGAAAATCGTCGCTGCTTTGTTTTTCCACGTCCCGTGATCCTGTTTTCATCCAATTACCGCTGATGGATCGCAATTTCAGCGTCCTCGAGGTTCCTCGGGCAATTAAGTCGCTGATTTATTAATAAGAATTTCATATTTCGGCCTTGGAAGCCTTACAGCGAACATTGCGCGTAATTTATCCAGTTACGCGTAATGGCAATTGATCGAAAATTTCCTTCATTTTCATCCTCCATTACCATAGAATTTGATTAGCTGCTCGCTTTTTTGAACTCGTTCGAGTAAATATAAAATTGCAAATAGGGACACGTTCGTTTGAGGATCAAGAGGATTTCGAAGGTTGGTGATCTAAGAAGACGGTTGCTTTCAGTTACTCGTTCTAGCCGAAATACAAAGACGACAAAGGAGTCTGGTCTTCGCGGAATGGAGCGACTCGCGTTTTGAATGACGGCCATTTGCCACGCTCGGATCATCGGGAAATGGCGCGTGTCTCGTACCTTCAAAGATATTCCCTCGGCCGTTTAGTCGTTAGTGCCTCTTTACGAGCACCTCTCTCCTCGAGATTCTTCGAGGAATCACAAAGAACGTCAGGTGGCCTGAGATCTTTATTGGAAACTCGCCGTGAGGACCTCGTGTCCACCCGGGCGAGAACCTTCGTGTAACTTACAGCCAAGGTCGTGCACTCGAGGAATTTCCTTGGAATTCGGTTGGGAATTTTCGATGGAACGAGGAAACTTTTCTATGGCACGTCCGAGGTGAGTTACTGCGAGAAAGAAAAGCCAGAGATGAACGTCGAACGACATGGTACTTCGTCATTTTGAGTAGGAAACCTAGGTTTCCATTTATTAGCCAAGCATTCGTTCGTCTTTTGTGAAACTAATATTTTTAAAAGCAAAAGAGAATTTTGCTGGGAATAATTAACCTTCGTCGCTCGTGTCCATCAAAGATTCCAACTTCTGGAACATTTGGTAACCACAACTCTAGATACGGAGGCGAAGACGTTTACAGGATCGTAGACGTCAGCGGAGTTCATTAAAATCTCGAATCGCTGTTTCACCATCTGCCTCTGAATTAGTTTGTTTGACTGTTGCCTGCATTCCGGTACGTGTTCCACGAGAAATTCCTGATATTTACGTCCACCCTTCTTTCGGCCATAAATTTTTATCCGGCAAGCGTATGCTTCGGAAGCTAGACACGTTTCTACTCCCCGTGTCAACAGGAACAACTTTATGGGGCGTTCGTTATACCGTGAGAGAAGATTAGTGAACGAAATTCAGCAGCCGAGCCAGTGATTTCCGGTTTCCATTCGTCAACGAACACCCTTGCATTAGATATTTCTCGAACCTCGCCTCGAATCATCTGGCATAATTTAATAAAATTTGACGAAATTAAATGTCATTCTCACCCAGAGATTACTTTATTTCCGTTTTAATTGCTCACGCGATGATTAGGTATATCTATATACCGATTTGTCCGCGGCACGACACGACGAGCAATAAAATGGCGTCGCGTGAAAAGCAGCAGACGCGAACACGGGCTACGGGAAATAGAGACAGCAATTGGCGCGTGTCATAACGTTTTAACGCGTATTACGATGTTTGAGCCGGTCCCTGTCTAAATATTGGCTCCGCACTGGCGCGAGTTTGCTGAGCAAAGACAACCGGCACGACTGTTTGACTTTACTTAGAGTCCACGGATCTCGATTACTGCCTACTCGTTACCTGCTTTACGCGGCCGCCCCGTGTTAACAGGTTTGTCATACAATACGCGACGCGTCGCCCCCGAAAAACGAAGAAAACGCGCGTCCGCCATCTCGTTTTTACGCGAACGGCCAGGACGTAGTCCTGGGACCGACGCTTTCAGGCTTCCCACCTTTCCGTGAACCATTAATCCCAATGAGAGATTCGTCTTGTGTGTTTTTACGATTAGTTCTGACTCCTCGTTCACTCGGTTGATCAATTTTCATTCGCATTTTCCAATTATCCACATGGATCGGTAATTCTTTCGCTGGGAAGCTTGGGTTGGGAGCTAAGCTGTCTAATTGTCTAATTATTCGTGGATTACTCGACTGTCTGATCCTTGGACGACTGGCAAAATACGAAACATAGTACTTCTGAAGGAAAAATCGAAAGGATAGTTCGCATTAGCTCTACAGCCGTCTCGGGATTAATATTTGATATATTCTCTGGAGACTATCCAAAAGGAACATTAATTCGAATTCCGATGTCTCCCACGGGCCATTAAAATTCACGACCACTCCGCCGATCCGCGGAATTAGAGCATTATCATCCGTCTCGCGTTCGTGGAAAGCTGAGACGACGGATCGGAATCTTGGCGAGAGTTAGGGACGTTGCATAAATGTGAACATGAATGAAAAGCGACGAGAGGCTTGGAACCCGGGAAACGCGGGAATTTCGAAGCCCACTGAGCACGGCGAATTGGAACGGGGGTAGGGATAGGCGGAGGAAGCTAGGGAGAAAAATTAGGACGCTTTTGACAGGCTGCTTAGTAGCTGGGCCGTAAAAAGCTCGGCCACGAGAAGACCGGAGGGACAGGGGACATAATTACAATGAAAACATCGTCGACCCCGTCGGCTCGACGTCTTTTTGCCACGTCGCTTTCTACTCGCTCGTTGCCTGACGAACGGCCAACAGAGAGCGAGAGAAACCGACCGAGGGAGGATGGAACGAGACCGATTCTATTTCGAATCCTGCTGAGTGCCAGATGACTCGTGGTATATACGCTTCTGCCTCCGAGTTCTCTTCCTTTTCTCTTCCTTCCTTCGTCTTTCTCTTCCTTTTCTCCGGCCACTCGCATTGTCCCTTTCCCTCCTAGTCGCCCTTTTTTCATCCCCTTTCCTCCTTCCCCGTCCCGGCAGTTTTCTTCTTTCTTCCCTTTTCTATTCTGCCTGCCAACT